GTCATCCCTGTCGGCTGCCGGAGCACCGGCGTGCAATGCCTTCAGGGATGATGATCTCCTCCCACCCGCTCTGTGACCGTGCTGGTCATGGACCAGGCTGGTCACTCAGCCCGGTCGGGTGCTCTTGGTCCAGTCCCTCCGTACAGACCACTCCGGCTTGGTAGAACCTGCCAGGGGCCGAAACCCCCGCCGGCACAGCTCTGTACATCATCGGGACCTTCAAGCCTCCCCACCACGTCAAGGTGGCACCCACGGGGAGGTAACCTAACCTAACCTTTTTTTTTTTTTTTTTTTTTTTTGACGAGGAGGAAATCCATCATGGATACCCTGACCCTCGGGGAAGGGCCAGGGTTATGCCGGACTCCTACCGGCTAAAACCTCCCCGGGTGGCGCTGCGAAGGGACTTGGTTCGGGGCCCCGGTGCCGTGTAACTGCTGATCGGGGCCCCGAGTCCAGATGTTGCACCTTCTGTCCCTGAGGGGCGGGGGGGGGAGGGGGGAAGCCGACCCGAGGGTCCGCTTCGACCGCCGCTCCCCCAGGGGAAGGGGGAAGCCGGCCCGAGGGCCCGCTTCGACCGCCGTTCCCCTTTCCCACCCCTCACGCCTCGTCTCTTCGGTCGGGAAGGGGGAAGCCGGCCGAGGCCCGCTTCACCACCGTTCCCGACCAGACGAGGCGCCGCCAAAACACGTTGTGTGGCTGACTGACCCACCGTATCAGCCAGCCACCCTACCTTGGGAGGGCTGGTTGGGGCACCGGGAGTCCCCGCCCGGTGCCCCACCCTCCCGCCCGGCGGTTGCGGGGAGATGTACTCCCCTAGCCGCCGGGCTCTCCCCACCTCCGCGGAGGAATGGGGCGGGGGGTCCTAGTGACCCCCCTTCCCGCATGTCCGACTGGTCTGTCGGACCTGCGATTAAGGGGGGGAGGGGCATTTGTTTCGATGATTCGTTATCATCGATGCCCTCTCCCCCCCTCATTTTCATCCGACTCCCGTTCTTGTGGGAGTCGGCGGTCTGCGGGTGTAGGGCCTAGGCCTGAGCCGGGCCCTCCACCCGCTACCTTCTCCCGTCGTCGCTGCCCTTGGTGGGACAGCGGGGGGTGGCGGCGGTGGTGGCGCCGCATCACCCCTGCTGCTGGGGGGGCGGTCAGCATGGCTGCCGCCACCATTAGGGGGGTGAGGCGGCGCAAAACCACCACCGCCACCCTTCCGTCTCCGACTCCTCTCCGGTTTCCACGGGGGGCACCGTGCCCCCTGCGGGTACCCCGTCTCGCTGCTGGTGCCTGGGGGGAGCAGGAGGGGGAGGGGGGGAGGAGGTGGAGGAGGTGGTGGTTGGCCCACCATCCTCCTGAGCTCATCCTCCTCCGAGGAATCAACGTCCCCCTCCCTGCTCCTGCTTCTCCCCGCCCTCCACTGGCGGTGTCTCTCTCCCGCCTCCTTTCCTCCCCCCCTCTGCCTCTCTCCGCGCTTCTTCCGCCTCCTCCTTCTGCGTCATTACCGAGTCGCAGAAGGAGGAGAACGCATCCCATCTCTTCTCACTCCCGAGGATCGCCCCGACTATCCTCGGGAGTGAGAGGTCCTGGCCCAAGGCCCTGACCATGACTCCGCGCTCGGCACTCCAGGCGGGGCAGTCCTGGAGTGTGTGTTGCGCGGAGTCATGGTCGTGTCCGCAGTGGTGGCATGTCGCCGTGCGCTCCTTGCCTATCCGGCACAGGTACTCACCGAAGCATCCATGCCCGGTGAGCACCTGTGCCATCCTAAAGGTCAGGGTCCCGTGGGCCCTTCCTACCCACTCTGGCAGGAAGGGCCGGACGGCCTCGACGGTCCTCCTTCCGTACCTGGCATTAGCCAGGAGTCGCTGCCATCTCTGAAGGAGGACCTGTCGAGTCTGGTGCTTCATCCTTCTGATTGTCCTGGCGAGCGGTTCTTCCGCCCCCCCCATACGCAGGAGCTCACGCTTCCTATCGTACATTCGATTGTACGATAGGGCCATGAGCTCCAGGGGGGGCATGCTCGCCAGGACCGTCGCCGCCACGTGGGATACTGTTCGGTAGCATCGGGCCACCCTGACCGCCAGCGCCCTTTGCACCCTGCGCAGGGTTGCCTGTATCGGGCGACTGACGGCCAGGGCTTCCGCCCATATCGGTGCCCCGTAAAGGGCCACCGAGTTAGTACCCCAGCGTGGAGGCGACGCGCCTTCCCATCGGGTCCCCCGGTTCTCGGCATGAGTCTGCTGACTCCGTTGGAGACAGCCCTCAACCGGGGGACCAGGCGATTGAAGTGTTCCTTGAAGCACCAGGTGCCGTCCAGGGTGAGGCCCAGATATCTCATCTGGGCCTCTATTGGGACCCTGACCCTTCCCACTCTGATCTGGGCCTGGGGTGGCTTCATCCTCCTACCATGGAGGAATATTGCCTCCGTTTTTCTCTCCGCCACCACCAGACCCAGTCCGCGAATGGAGCGCACGACGCATGCCACCGCGAGGTTGGCCGTTCTCACGGCCTCCCCCCAGTCTCTCCCCCCGGCTATGATGAGCGTATCATCGGCGTAGCAGATGATGCTACAGCCGGGGGGGAGGGCAGTTTGGAGGACAGAGTCGTAACCGAGGTTCCACAGGAGGGGGCCCAAAACGGACCCCTGTGGAACCCCGCAACTCATGCCCCTCTCGCATACCTTGCCGTCGGCGTCTCTCCAGGCTAGACGCCGACCCCGGAAGTAATCCCTGACGACGGCCACGAGGTAGGGTGGGAATTGGAAGTGGCCTTCCATGGCCTCCACCACCCTACCCCAGGGCAGGGTGTTAAACGCGTTGGCGATGTCCAAAGACACCGCCACCGCCACCCCGCCCTCCTGCACGATGGCCTCCGAGAGGGACCGCAGACGCCGAATCGCGTCTACGGTTGAACGTCCCTCCCGGAAGCCATATTGGCCGTCGTCAAGGTTCGGACCTTCCGGGACATATGCTCCACGAGGCGGGCAGCTATGACACGCTCGAAGAGCTTGCCCGCCTCGTCCAGGAGACATATGGGCCGGTATGCGGAGGGGGTGTCCTCCGGTTTGCCCTCTTTACGGAGGAGGACCACATTGGCCCTCCCCCAGACTGGGGGGAACCTCCGTTCCCTCAGGGCTCGCGAGAATATCCTCGCGAGCCTTCCGCCTAGGTACCCCGAGGCCAGGGTAAGGACGCGGCCGGGGATTCCATCGGGTCCTGGCGCCTTCCGGCTTTTGACCCTTTTGATGGCCCCGGCCACCTCCTCCTCGGTGACCCCCGGTACCACCCCTTGTTGTTCAGGGGTGGGTGCAACGTACGGGCCCATGGGGTCCCCTTCCCTGACCGGGAAGAGGGTCCCCATGACCCGCTCCAAGAACCGGGGGTCGAGCGTCTCCGTTAGCGGGGGCGTCCATGGTTTCAGCTTGTTCATTACCATTTTGTATGGACGCCCCCACGGATCCGCGTCCAGCGAGAGGAGGAGGGTGTCCCACCCTTTTCCTCTGGCTGCCCCAATCGCATCTCTGAGGGATGCTGCCGCTAGGCAAAACTCCCTCCGGGCAGCCAGAACAGCCTCGGGGTCCGAGTGAGGGTCATTACGGACCCTCCTAAAGGCCCGCCTGAGGTGGACCGACTTGTGCCGGAGATCGGCTATGGCGTCGGTCCACCACCAGGCGGACCTTTTGGGGCAGGACCTGACTCTGGGCATGGCTTCGTCGCACGCATGCGCGATGACTTCCATAATTGCCATAACCTCAGAGTCGAGGTCCCGCCCCTCTTCCTGCCGTGGCCAGGTGGCAGCCTCTAGGGAGATGTCCAGTGCTTCCCTGTCCAGTTTGTTCAGGGACCATCTCCCCGGTCGGGGTTGCATTCGGGGTTGCTTGGACCGCAGGCCCTCGGGGGTGACGGACAGCTCCATCTCTATTAAGAGATGATCTGAAAGAGCTTCGAGCTCGTCCGCCACCCTCCAACTCCGCACCCGCTTCAGGGCCGCGGGGGAAGCCCATGTGAGATCGATGATCGATTCTCCCCGCGACCCTACGAACGTCGATTCGCGTCCCTCGTTCAGCAGGTGCAGATCAAGGCCCGCGGCCCAGTCTTCCACCTCCTCCCCCCTCCTGTCACCATCCCGGGATCCCCACGTCTCCGACTTCGCATTGAAGTCCCCGGCGATGATGACAGGTCCGGGGAGGTACCGTCTAACGGCCCTCCCCATATCCCGGAGCCTGGACTTGAAACTAGGAAAGTCCAGGCTCTTTGTTGGGGGGAGGTACACCCCGACCACTATGATGGCTCCCCACCTGGCCACGACAAACCCCCTGCCTCGGTCCAAATACTCGGCAGGGGCTGAGCAGCTGCTCGCCTTCCACACAATAGCGACAGAGCCCAATTCGTCCCCGAACCACCTGCGGTTCCTGGGGACATGGTGGGGCTCTGCCGCTATTCCTAGGCCTGCACCGCGCTCCGTCATAGTATGCTCAAACAGAGGGAGCGCTTGACGGGCGCGGTGCAGGTTTCCTTGTAATAACTTATTGTCCATTTTCCGTTATTACTACCACCTTCTCTCCCGGCTGTTCGCCGTCGGTATCCTCGTCTTGCCTGGTTCTTTTCTCTCCCCTCTTCCCCTCCACCTCCATCTCCCCGTCATCAGTGGGAGGCTGAGGGGGAGGCGGAAGAGAGAGAGAGGCTCCTCTCTTTCTTTGAGGAAGTGGAGGTTGGGGCTCCTTCTCCCGGTTTACCCCCCCCTCCACCTCTTTTCCCTCCTCGGTTTCTTTGTTTTTCCCCACTGGGGATGCAGGAGGGTCTCGCGGCGGCGGTGCGGTCGCCGTACCCCCTTCCACTGCATCCCCAGGGACGTTCTTCCTCCTCTTGGGGGGACGACAAGATGGTCCCCCCATTCTATGATCTGCCTTTACGCCGGCCTCTGCGCAAATTTGGCATCTGGCTCTGGCGTTACACTCCCGAGCCAAGTGACCGTATTCTCCGCATCTATAACAATTTTCGCGTCTATCATTGCTACTTTTGCAGTTTACTTGTACATGCCCTTTCTCTAGGCATTTGTAGCATTGTAGTGCTCTTGCCTGTAGCAGCTCCGCTTTGGTTAGGGTCCACCCAATTTTGATATTCCCCGCCTCTGCCACCCTCTTGGCCGCCGCTAGGGGGCACTGTACCCATATTGTTCTATAATTGTTGTAGGCTACTCTTATGTTTCCGGTTTTAACCTCTCTTGCCTGACATCCCCCTACCTTTGCTACTGCCTCCACTACTTCCTTCTCAGAGGTGGATATCTCCAGCCCTTTTAGCCTTAGTTCCCCCATTTTCTGCGGTCTACTCACTCTTGCCCTATCCGTCAGGACCTCCTTGAGTTTATCCGCCAATAGGTCCGCTTGTTTGTTCCTTTCCTCACCGGGTATCTCAAACACCAGTGCTCCTGTGGCCCCTACTCTAGTCTTTATCTTTTCGATACCTATTCCCTCTAGGTCTATCCTCCTTTTTGCTTCCGCTAGTAGGTCCTTGTACTGTCCTTTCTCGGCGGTGATTGTCACTGCCGCCGTGTTAGGGACTCTTCTCTTATTCTTTTTTCCCCCCTTCTTTTCGGGAATTACCACCTTTTTTATTACTGTTTCTTTCCTCCTCTGTTCTTCCTTCTCCCTCTTCTTTTCTCTTCTACCCACCACTTTCGTCCACACTTCTTGTGGTATAGGTGTCTCCTCCTTGCCCTGTTGTGCTTGCTCCTTTTTTTGCTGCCTTGTGGGTGGAAGTTGAGGGAACTCTTTCCTGTATGTGTTTTCCCGGTATTGTGTCCTTCCTTGTTCTTCCATTTCTTTTACCTCTCCTTTCCCTTTATTCCCTTGTTTTTTCCATGCTCCTTGTTTGGAAGTTTCCTGTGACTTCCATTCATTCATGGCCTGGAACACTATTCTCGAAACTTCCTCTCCCAGTCCCTTCTTTCCTTCTTTCATTGTTTCCTCCCTCCTTTCCACCCTGACTCTAGTATTTAGGGGGACATTTTCCCTAATCTTGGGACCTACTTCTTTTCTTGCGACCCTGGCTTCCTTTACCGGGCGTTTCCCGTCCTTTGGGATTAATCCTTTTGGGATTTCTATAATCCCAATCGGAATCTCCTCCTCCTCCTCCACCATGTCCACCATAGGTGGGGTGATCGCCCTTTCTTCCTTCTTCATACGCATCAGGGACGAGGGAGCACCCGTCCTTTGTTGCGGTGCCTTCTCCGTACCCTGACCCACACTTCCCGGGTGTTTTGAGGGCGGGGAGGATACCACTGCTGTATGCGGCGGTGCCTCCCTTATACCTCGGAGCATCTGTTTTACCTCCTCCAGCTCCTTCCTCACCTCTGTCAGCGACGTCTTTAAGTTGGCATTCTCTGTCCTCAGTTCTTCTATGAGGTCCAAGTTATTCCCGCATCTATCTTGCGCCATTTGCATTGCCATTATGTTGGCTCCTGCAGTTATGGCAGCTGCGGCGTCTCTGAGTACCTTAACATGGGTACCCTTTAAACTCTTAGATTTCTGCGAGAATCCTAGAACTTTTGTCGACGCTTCGAGGATCGTCGCCGTGACGTCCCGGAAGGGGGCCTCCTCAAGATGTTCGGTAAGTCTTTTGATTTCGGCCTTGTACTTCCTATTCGAAGTACAATCCTGGAACTCTTCGCATGGGTTTTCCATGCCCTTCAGCAGGAATTCTTCCCTCCTCTGTTCCAGGATGACCTGCTTTCTGGCCAGGAATTCCTTTTTGAGCCGGTATCCCCCTGTTGTCTCCGGCCTGCCCCTGCCTTTGATGGCCTTCTCCACGAGGCGTTCTTCGTCGGTGTTCCCATCCTCGTCCCTGGGGATCTCCCACTTCCCTTCCTTCTTGTGGGCAGTCTTCACGCCATCGTCCGAGTCCTCCTCCTTGGAGGTGGCAAAGGGCGTCGAATCATCGACCTTGAGCGGCGATCGGGATCGGTCACTGTCCTCGATCTCTTCCGCCCTTTTCTTCACTAGGGACTTCGCGCTCCGAAGCCCCTCCCTCCTTGCCGTTATCTGGCCTTTGCCAGTTCGGCATCTCGTGTCAATGGTCCTTGCCTGGGTCGTCTTATTTTGTTCCGTGTCCGATGATTCATAAGATGAGGAATTAGTGTCAGTCATTGTGGTTTAAAACCCACCACTCTGCACGGCTCCGGTGCCCGGGCATGCCCGCATCCCCCCGGCAAGGGGGAGCCTCCGAGTTCCCCCAGAGGAGCACCATATGGCACGGGCCGACGGAATATAACATCGTCGGCACTGGCCTCCCGCCCCCTACACGCGCCCTGACCACCATCTCTGGTGGCCAGACCGCTTTCGGGGGTCCCACACCTCCGACAATGTGGGCACCGTGCAGAGCGCCGCCACGCGGGGGGCCCCATGGAAGGAGATAGTTCACCGGTGTCGCACCCCACCGGGAACGTCTCCCCCATGGCAGCCAGCGTGCTCGCGCCGCCCGAGGGTCCGCTTTAGGGTGATGCGATCGCATTCCCTCGGGCACAGCACACAGGGGCTCCGACCCCGCCTCGGAATACGTCCGAGCGGCCCGGAGCACCCCTCCACCCCCCGGGTACCGCGAGGGGTTCCAAACCCTCGCGGTGTGCAGACCCGGGTGTGGGTACCTCTCTCCGCCTGGCCGTGGCCAGGACGGATGAGGGAGAGGATCGTTCCCTTCGGCTGCCGGAGCACCGGCGTGCAATGCCTCCGGGAATGAGTCCTCTGATCGGCGCATGAGGGTGTCTCGACCCAGACCTCGGAATACGTCCGAGCGGCCCGAGACACCCCTCCACCCCCCGGGTACCGTGGGGCAAGCCCCGCGGTGTGCAGACCCGGGTGTGGGTTCCTCTGTCCGTCCGACCGAGGCCGAACGGGTGAGGGAAGTCGGGGAGTCCACCTTCGAAGAAGGTGGGGTCCTCTCCCCTCGTCACCCTAGGGTGCCCCGACCCAGACCTCGGAATAAGTCCGAGCGGCCCGGGACATCCCCTCCACCCCCCAGGTACCGTGGGACTAGTCCCACGGTGTGCAGACCCGGGTGTGGGATCCTTCGTTCGCCCAGCCGTGGCTGGGACGAGCGAGGGAGAGAGATCCTCCCCTCTTCGGCTGCCGGAGCACCGGCGTGCAATGCCTAGGAGGGTGGGATCTCTCAGGACGCGGCAGCGTACCCCGACCCCGACCTCGGAAACGTCCGAGCGGCCCGGAGTACCCCTCCGCATCTCAGGCACCACGGGGGAGGAGGATCCCCATGGGGTGGAGCCCTGGATGCGGGTACGTCCCTCCGCCCCGGTCTAACCGTAACGGTCCAACCGAGGCGGGAGGAAAGGGTTCTCTCTCTTCGGCTGCCGGCTAACACCGGCGTGCAATGCCTCGGAGAGAGAGGTCCCCTTCCTGGAGCGAGTGTGGAGGAGGTCATCCCTGTCGGCTGCCGGAGCACCGGCGTGCAATGCCTTCAGGGATGATGATCTCCTCCCACCCGCTCTGTGACCGTGCTGGTCATGGACCAGGCTGGTCACTCAGCCCGGTCGGGTGCTCTTGGTCCAGTCCCTCCGTACAGACCACTCCGGCTTGGTAGAACCTGCCAGGGGCCGAAACCCCCGCCGGCACAGCTCTGTACATCATCGGGACCTTCAAGCCTCCCCACCACGTCAAGGTGGCACCCACGGGGAGGAAAGGTATGGTGGGGACCCGAAGGTCCCCAATACCCCCCCGTCGGTGAGGAACCGACGGAGGTACCTACCTAGCCGGCCCCTGAAGGGGGCCGGCCTTCCCGCCCCGGGAGGCGTTCCAGTGATGATATCACGGTCACCATGGTTCACCTCCCGGTTTGGGGCTATCCCTGACTTGGTTGCGGTGGGAGGAGTTCCCCCGAAGGGGTCGGCCCTCCTCCCACCGCTCCCATCTAGGACTGTGGCCTTTCACCACGGTGGGTGTCCCGGCAGGTGGCTACTCTCGCCTCGACTGCCGGGCACATCCCACCGCGCCAGGCCACTCTAGTCCAGGGCCGGGGCGTCACGGAAGAGAGCCTTCCTGGCTCTGCCTGCCGTGCACGTCCCGGGTTGGGTGTTCCGATCGGGCGGATGACAGATTACTGCCCATCCGCCAATCGTCCACCCCGCTCCTGCATAAGGAGCAAGGAGCTCTGATTCCTCGCGTCGTCTCTGTGAGCTCCATCCTGGGACGGAGCTTCCGGGCAAGGGAGAGCAGCCGGTGCTTTGCTCCGTGCTCGGTCTACCTTTGGCGGCACCGATCGTCGTGCCTTCCATTGAGGGGGAGGGGGAGGGGGCATTTCCCTCCTCCTCCTCCTGCTACCTCTGTTGTCCTTTTCCGAGCTCCTCGCAGGGAGGGGGAGGCCCCTTCACTTTGCGCGTGAGAAGCCCCCCCCTACGAGAAGCGCGAGAGCCCGGCTTTCGTCGTTGTCGTCGTGTCCCGCGGTTTCCTGCTCGCGGCGGCCTAGGGACCGCGTGCAAGCCTGCCTCCCATACGGTGG